TAATTGCTGGGATCATTAAACTAATAGTTTGTAGCAGTAACTTTAAAAATTACTACAAAACCATCAGGTTAATTAACTATAGTTAGAAAAACACAATTTTTACATTAAGGTTAATTAACTATAGTTAGAAAAACACAATTTTTACATTAAGTCTTACTAAAAGTAAACAAAAAAAATTTAGGTCAGACAATTTTTGATTGATCCGCCATATATTTCAGTTTCATATTTCAGATTCAACTACGAAGAAATTCAAATATTCTACTGTTATTTTACAGAATTACTTTAAGAGTAATAATTTATACAAATAAATTATTGAGTTAAATTTATTTAATAAATAAATCGTATAGATATTAACCTGTTCGTTTTTTTAAAAGCGCAGCACAGTTAACTTGAAAATGGCGGACGATGTCTAAACTTTTACTTGAGAAACTCTAACGTTTAAAAGTAAACTACACGTAGGTAATATAAAATAGAATAACGTATATATATATATATATGTTTTAATCATGCATTCCAAGAAATCTGACGCAGCATTTTGCGTCAATAAGCTAAACGGTTAAAAAAAGTAAAAGGAAAAATAATTAATTGAAAAAAAAAATTCATTCAAGACCATAGATGAGATATGTTATCACGTTTTCAAGTGTTCGTTCACATTTCTCATTAAAAATTCAATTATCTTTTTAAATGCCATTAATTTACTCTTAAATTATCATTTACATCGTAAAGAAAAAATTTTTTTGGATAAAAAAAAATTATTTCTAAACAATTTTTTTATTTTGCTGCGATTTAATAAATTAAATTCGTGTTTATAGTTTTGAGATATGTTCTAATTTTAATAGACGCAGTGTGTCTTCGAATGTTTCGCAATCGAGCAATTGGTGACATGTCTCAACTGATAATGACATTCTTCAAGGATTTAAATTCGTCACGTGCAGCCATGAAAAGACAACACGACGCGCGACGAGTATTTGCCATTGATAAGAATTTAAAAAACGCAGCGAGGCAATAACTTCATTCGCGATACCTGCTGATGATCTATACATTCGAGTTATCGTTATCTCTATAACGTCACAAAATCAAATCGAAACTTGTTCCAATTCCTGAGAAAAAAATCAGGAACTTATCTCGCGCTGGTGGATGAAAAGTGAACGCTACAAGAACACTGTTCTCCAGACCAACACGTATATTCTAATAGATCTGAACATAACCTCCTTGAGAAAAATTCGACCCTCTGAAGAGTACCCAGGTATCCCATCATCGCAACATCGGCTGCAGATCATCAGCGGTCGATCGCTCTTGATCGCTCTCGCGATTGACACATGACAAACGGGCGCGCGTATGCACGAAAAGGCGTTTGGCCGGCGAGCAGCACGCGATCATATCGCGAGAGAGAAAGTGTTATGATTCGAGGACTCAAGACTCACCGCTGTGCCC